GCAGCCCGGGGCTTTGTCCTTCACTTCTCGGTGCGGGGTGGTGGGGCTGGGCTGGCTCACGGCGTGGGGGGAGTGCGACGCCAGCACGCTCTGAGGAGGAGCAAACACCCACAAGGGAACCGAGAGCTTTATTTCCCCCCAGCATTTTGCTCTACTGACTTTTTTGACAAGGTGTATAAACCTCCGTACTGCACCGAACACAAGAAGCCTGTCACTAATTGCGGGAGATCCCTGGAGAACGCCTGTGCACAAACAGCATCTCCCTCCGGCTTTGCCAGGCAGCCTCGCTCGCTGTCGGGCGGCTGCTTTCCTCCCACATCTTCTGTCAATACCGCGATCTCAGCTGCTAACGCAACCACCCGCTCACAAGGCAGAAACCAGCTTGTACCTGAGCTCCCTTCGGCTGACCTGGCCACCACGCTGCACACCAGCACAAGCTCATCTGAACCTTCCCCAGCTCTCCAGGAACTCATTTACCTGAGAGAAAGTCGCGTTGGCCAGTGAGATCGTGATGTCCCGAGACACTCCTGTGGGCACTGGGTCCAACGAGGCAGGTACAATTCGCGGACAGTCGATTTTATTCTGTTAGGTACACCACAAGACAAAAAAAAGAGAGGTTAGCTGGGTGCCCGCTGAGCATCCTCAATGACGAGAGAGAAGACACGTCAGGGACCTTGATGAGGTTAATTTCACCACATCTTTAAAGCCAGATCACACTGTAACCCCAGAAAGTGAAATACCAACACGGCAGCGTGATGCACGCAGCGGTAATGCCACACGGAGCCTTCCTCCTCCGAGTCTCCAGCTCTGGCAGTGCCTCGACACCCGGCTCTGCGAGCGGCTGGGTGACCACGGCAGGGGCGGCTGCCCAGCCTGCCCTTCCATCTTCCTGTGCCGGAACAAACCTCCTCCCAGGTATAAAGCAAATGCGTACGCGCTCCTCAGCTGCCACGCAGCCCCCTCATTACATGCCCTTAAAGCTGGACGACAGGGCCGAGTGACACTAAGAGGGGGCACTGCAATGGCAATGGCAAACCTGCCGGTGTGACCCCCTCCTGCCAGCGGGAAGCCGATGTCTCGCACCTCGCAACGCGTTTCGGCAAAGCCCTGCAGAGATCTTGCTTTCCAGCGGTCTCCCTCCTGCACGGTGCCATTTCAGAAGTGTGCGGGGGTCTGTGTGTGCACACGTGTGCACGCAGAGGAAAGGGTATAATGAGCTGCAGGGGCTTCAGCAGGGGGACTGCAGCAGGAGGACAGCTGAAATGAAAGGCCTAAATGAAGCTGAAAAAAGATTTTAAAAGGTCATCTGTCCCCCTCTTTTGTTCTCACTTTAAATTGATGGCGCAGATACTGGAGCTGACTCAGAACTCAAGTCTGTGTGACAAGCCCATCCTGTTCTCTCATGAGATGTAAATCACACTGCAAAACTACTGCAAAAATGAAGCCAGATTCTCCGCTGCCCCAGGGCATATCCAGATTAATGCCTCTGACAGTGGAGCCATTGGGGTAAAAGCCAACAAAATATTTGGTGCATTATGTAGAATAATTTGCAGCAGGCAAGGTTTCCTTCTCACTTGCACTGAGGGTTATCACACTGTGACTCTGCTGATGACAGTACTGCTGCTGCTCTGATGAGAGGTAGAGCCTGCCCTCCTCGCACCGAGATGCCTGGGAGGACACATCCCTGGTGCCGGACACGCAGTGAGCATGAGGCTTCTCTCCTGCTTTCCCCAGACCTAGCTAGGGGCAGGGGAACTATCTGGAAGTGCCTGTCTGACTGTGGAAAACACGCTTCTTTTCTGTCAGGGTACTCATCTTAACCAAGCACAGTTGGTGCCGCCTAAACAAGGAGATTAAATAACAAAGATGCACATGATAAGACAAGTAAAACAACAAAGCAAAGCACTGGAGAGAGGTTTCAGTCCCAAGCCTCTTCTAGGAGAATCAAAAGAGTTAAAATAAAACCAGCAGGGCTACAACTGAAAATTCATGCAAAAGCTCCTATGGCCTGGTGTGTCCTTGCATGTCACAGCAGCTGGCATAGCTTGCTAGATAAATACACTTTAGAGGACTGATTAACTTGTCGTCTTGCAGACCCTTCTCCTGCTGTTCATCAGTGGCTAGAAACAGAGCTTTCCAGCTGATTATATCATTCGTGTCTGGATCAGTGCAAAGGGTCTGCATGTTTAAAATGCTGCAGATGAAGCCAGTACGATGCTGGCTTCCCAGCGGACCAGGCTTCAGGTGCAGCCATGCCAGCGACCGTTTGTTTACCGAGAGCTCAGGCTGCAGGATGAGGCACCACGTTTCCAGGGCTACCGAGCACCTCGTCCCGCAGCCTGCTCCCCAAAATCAGTGGGAAGAGCGCTAAGAAAGGCAGAGATAACACAGGAATGTGCTCAGAACAGGTGCATCCAACCAAACGGCACCTCTGGAGCCGATCAGAGGCGAGAAAGCAAGGACAGGCACAGGTATCCCTGCCAGAGGGTAACCCCGGCTCTCGCCATCTGTGCGAGGCGATGGGAGCAGAGCGGGAAGACTGGGTGCAGCTCTCCCTACATGCAGGTGAGGCTCGTCGAGACCCACATCCACGACCCCGATTTCCTCCCTCCACGCAGAAGAGCACCTGTCCCGCGTGGCGATGCACGCGCACTCCGTGCCACGCTGTCCCTCACAGTCCCCCTTGGCTGTCCAGGGCAGGGCTGCCGAGGTCCAGCCACCCCAGCACCTGCATGCCCTGGCCTTCACCGGTACTGGCACGCAGGAGCAGAACAATGTCTCTGTCGGGTTTGATTTTGGCTGGGCCTGTTCCTCCAGTGCACGGCTGCGTGAGTGCAGGGTGCCGGGCAGGAGTAAGCTGGGACGGGGTGGGGATGCCCGGCCAGCTTGGAGGGACCGGGTGGCTGTGGTCCCTCCAACCCCCAGCTTGGGCTGCTCCCCGTTTGCAGTGCCATGGGCAATGCCACCTCACCCTCACCCCACTCTCCACCAGCTCCATGTCCCAGGACATGCTCCAGCCCCACGCCATGGAGACCCACCAGACCCGACGGCTGGCACAGCAGGGCCCACAGCGACTCCAGCGCTGCGGGAGGCATCACCGACCCCCAGCCACAGCCTTGGCTTTACCAGGGACCGTTTGGGTCTGGCCCCAGAAGGATCCATGTGAGGAGCCCCATGCCCTCCCACCAGCAGCACGGGCACTGTAGGAGGCTTTTACCCCCACACCGTCTGTTTTACTGCCTGTCACCCCCCGAGAGCCCCATGCAGGGGACGGGACAAGGCCAGGCTCTGCCCCGTGGGGCAGGGAACGAGGGGGCAGCCAGGCTTTGCAAGGTCCGGTTCTCAAATCTGCCCTAGCATCCCTCTGGACACACTCCGGGAGGGACACCGGGGCCAAGCCAGGAAAGCACCCTGCTCCCGAACCCGCCGAGTAACCGCTCTGCCCCTGCCTCTCCAGCAGCAGCTGTGCTTAAGTCAGAGGACGCCAACTATCCCAGGCAATTTTTGTGTTTGCCAGCCAAGCTGCAGGCTTTGCGGTGCTTTGTCAAGGAAAAAGTCAATCCAGTAACGCGGGACCTTCTTCAGAAGGCTTCTCGCAGCCCAAGCTCTTCCTCTAGACTCAGTGAGAAACACACCACGAACCAGTCGTGACTGAAAACACCAGTGAGGACCAACGCGTGGCGGTGCCCTGCCGGGGCTGGCAGCCCCCGGAGCGCCCGTGCGAGCCGCACGCCCGGGGC